AGGTTTTTATCACATTACGATATTACTACATAGATTAGAATTTGATGACTTTTAAGATGACGTAATTGATGTTTTCCTGCGTGTTTCACAACTTCTTACGACGGCTCGCTACATCGCATGTCAATACGCAATAATCTACCACGATCGGTTAACTATCATCGTGCTGAGCGCCGCGACGATCATTAAGCGAGGATGAATGACGTACCCGTTGAATAACAAAATGGAGGGACATAAGTATAGTGCAATGTCGGCATCCTATAATTAATTGGCGACCAAACGTTCGCATAATACGCATAATTGAATTTTTTCACCTGTTTAATGGATTTCCATTTTTTTTTGTCACGCACTAATAATACCGCGATTCGAAAGTGGAACGATACCTTGCTCCCGGGCGATCGTTACTTGGCAGAAAAAGAAAAAACACAGGAGTTATTGCGGAAATTAATGTACAGTAAGAAATACGTTTGTCCGCCGAACGTGCCGTCCCGATAACAATAATTTCAACGTCTCATTCTCTTACTACTCTTACTACGTAGGAAGAGGCGGTGCGTGGCATATGTCACGTGACAGCGATCTAATGAGGGGCTGTCCGCGGCAATGACAGAAGTTGATACGCCATCATTTCGCGTCGCAACGGTAGCGTGCAGCATGTAATAACAAAATTTCATTCGCGCTGTTACATAGTATCCGCGGTGTTTGCAAATGGCGTCGCGAACGTCAGAGCAATTATGGAGCGTTATTCAATGTCTTCTTACGACGCGTGTCGCTCGAGAGAGACGTATTGATTCTTATCATAAAAATGTATTTCAGTCCCTGTCGGAGTGCTCTCTCGTGACAGTGTCACTAGAGAGCGTCCCGAAGCCATTAAATATTTTCCCTGAAATACCAGAGCGCAAGTTGAAAGGAAATAGCGGTAGTTTTAGCGGATTATGATTACAGGAGTCATGTAATATTAAAAATTAAAAGCGTTTGACAAGAGGCACGTAAGTGAATGACCTCGGCGCGCGGGGTCGCCGCTCACGCCTTAATTAATGAATCGTAATTACGGTCTGGGCGGCACGCGATCGTCGTGCAGGACGACGTCCTGCCAGCCGGCCGGCCGGCAGCGTACGTCCGCGGCTTTCGTCGGGGTCCGCGATTTCATGCCAAGATGGCTGCCCGCGTACGGCCCTCCCGATCTACCGGACCACAGGTGGGGGTAATGACGCTCATCACCCGACAGTGTTTTGCTATACCAACATCGGGCCGCGAGGCCTCGAGATCGTGCGATCGACGGAGAGGGCCCGACGCGGGCCGGCTGGGCGAGCGAGCGAGAAGCAGACGAGATCTGATCTCATCTGCGATAGGAAGACCCCGTGTCCTCTCCCGCCTCTTCACCCTCCTTTTCCCCGCCACGGTAAACCCTCCCCAAGACGTCGAATCCACCTCCTTCAACACCCTCCGCCTGCTCGCGTCCCTCGCCCTTGCTCGGCAAAGCGCCCTTCCTGCCTCGCGCCTCCTCTTCGTCGTCTCCCTTGTCTTCCGCTTGTTGTTCGTAAGCCTTCTCGCGCGCTGAATTTATCCCCCCAGCTAACTATCCGCGCATTCACCTCCGATATCGCCCTCTTCATCTTCATTTCACTCCTCTCTACCTCCGGTTTCGCTTCATTCTTTTCACGTTTGTTTTCACTCCTCTTGTTCCTTATTCATTTTGATTCATTCAGCCGGTTTCGTAACACGCTTCATTAATTTGTGGCATCCTTCGACGTCTTCAAATTTACCTTTCTTCCGTGACCACGTCGGCGTATTTTATAGCTTCTTTTTTTTTGCGTCTCTGCATTAAGCTGTGAAATAGACGAGTCTGATGTGGTAAGTTGAATAGAAATTATTATTTCGATTCGCTTAATTTCTCTTCTCACGCCCTCCCGCTATTTTTCTACATTCTGAATAAACCGCTAGATGGATTAACCATTCGCCACTTTCAGCTGTCTTCTTCATTCGTAACCTTTTCTCGTTTTGTTTTCTTGTTTTTGCGTCTCTCTCTCTTGTTTCCTTATGGCTTCATTAAATTTACCCTACTCTCACGATCGGACCACCGTCTCTGATATCCACCTTCTTCCCCTTCATTTTTCACTGTACATCCCTCTTGTCCTTCCCATATATCCTTCTCGCCTGCTATTTTGTTCTTCAAGTTTCTTCTCCGCTTCCGGCGCGAATGCAGCTCGCGCGGGTCGTTACGACGCTCAGCGCCGTGACGTCGTCGCTAGAGCAGAAGATCGATAATAAGGCTTCGAAGGGACGGAAGCGGGACGGAGAAGATCGATGAGGAGCAGACTAATAGAGGCCTAAGCAAAGGATAGTTGCGTGTGCAAATGCACCCTTACCTTCGTTTTGCCACGTCGCTATTTACATGAATTACATGATCATCGCCGCATGATTTATCGGGGCCGCAATAATCAGGTAAAATGGCAAGCTTCGAGAACGCTGACGCTAGAGCACAGTGCTAGACGTGTGTTTTACGATTTCTTTAGCTTTCACGTTGAAGCGAATCACGTACCGTGGTGCTTCGCAAACAAATTCGATGTCGATGGAAAATTGGATAGAACTTTGAAAAAAAATTATATAGAAAATTAAACTAAACGAAAAAAATTTTTTAATATAAATTTTAGATTGCTAATTAACGATTTAATTTGTAACCAAAGTTTTATATAAATATTGATAAAATTATTTTTTCTGAAATTTTTGGGTCATGTGAAATTCTTTTATTATATATAATTGAATAATTTTTCAATTACATCTTAAATCAACTGCGAATCAATGGCTTAATGCGCATTGAGAGGTGAAATTGTTGGAGAAACTGAAACAACATCTCTTCCGTATTCGAGACCGGTGTAAGTGTAATAATATCCTCCCTGCGCCCCGCGTGATTGATATGATATGAAACTTTATACTTCGCCACGGGCGCGGCATAAAGCAGCAGCGCGCACAGCGGTATCAACTCAATCAGTATCTGTGTTCCTGGATTACATTAACTCGCGAGTAATATAATTACAACGGGGAACAAAGAAGCATCGCAGCGCCGACGGGCACATCGTTTGAACGCGCGTAATAGCAACGTCTTGCATCACGTGCAGCGCCACAGGAGCCATCCAGAAGAGAGAGGATGTGTGAGTTATCCCGCCAGCTCGGTTAGCGTATCGATGCATAATGTTTCTACTCTCTCTCTCTCTCTCTCTCTCTCTCTCTCATAGAATTTTCACCGCATGTGCAAGCAAAATTAAACAGAATTTTATTATAAAAAATATTTTTGTACATAATATTGCTCCTTCGTTCTCTCGAAACATCGCATCGCTTACGCGATCGCGTTTTCGATCGACAAGTGTCTGAAAGAAATGGGTGAAAAAAAAACACGGACTCTCGCAGCACCGCTGGCACGGATGAACTAATTCAAGCGAGACCGGAGATATAGGGGCGTTTATCGGACGGATTATCGGTGGTGCGCCGCGGCGGGGAGAACGCGTCGGAAAACAAAGGAGCATCGGCGGAATGATGCACGAGGTGTGTTTAGGCGCGCGATAGTGACGTGCCGCAACGACGTGCATCGCGCCACGGGAGCCGTTCGTAGCTCGTGCGTCTCCTTCCCGCCGCCGACGCGCCGGGATCGCCGGTAACATTCTCCTAAACTCTAACGAGAGAACGGGGGATAGAGCCGTCAAAGCCGCGGGGGGCTGCGCTGCCTCGCCGACCCCCGCCGTTCGCCATCTTAGCTTTTATTAACGAGAAAGGTGGAGGATTCCTGCGCGCGGGAGGAAGAGACGGAGCCCTCCTTCTCTCCTTCTCTCTATCGTGGCGCACAGCGATTCACTCTAGTGAGACGGAATTCATTAGAGCCGCGGCTGGTTAATGACTCGTTCGGCTACCTTGCCACCTTCGAACCATCACGCTCTGCCGTGTCCCCTCGTTCCGCTTCATATTAAATCGCATTATGTCGCGTAATGCATCTTACTGTCGGCGATTATATCGTCGGGTTAATTGTGTTAGCCAACTGTACAAGCTTTGCCTTCCTCCAGTTTAAATATATTTCTCAAATTATTTTGAAAGCTTTTACGTAATATTTTTTTTAGCTCGAATATTATTTATTTTTCTACATTTTGCGCTAAATTTGGAATGCAAATGTGAACAATACGGCGCGCATTATAAAAAATACAATATATTAAATTAATTTAACATACAAAGAAATAATATACGCGACAGATGGGTACGCAATAATGATAGTGATTAATCAATTTATTCTTCGTAGAAGTTAAGTGGATAACGGACTTCATTGTCACGCATCAATAAATTCTAAAACTGACGTTATTTTTCACTGAAACGAAGAAGCAGCGACGAACGGGCTGCTCACTTACGCTTTTTGTGGCGTGACAAAACTTACGACTTCCGGATATTACACAAAGTTGCATGTTTTTTAACACGTTCGGGATGTCAGATGTGTACAGTGTAACGAGCTGCGCGCGAAATAATACGTTTTTCGTACTCTCAAATACTGCAATGTGCTGCAATTTCGTCAGTTTGCTGACGATCCTGTCACACCTCATAACGTTTTTGTGACAGTTTGACGTGGCGCATCCTCCAATCACACCATTCAATCCACTTTGTCTTTTCCATAAAACACTTTCGCTTGGTGTTTCAATAGGACGATGCCAGACTGTCCTTTGTCATTCAAAATTTTAAAGAGCTTCACGACTTCCGTGCCGTTTTTGTGCGCCGCAGAAAGAAGTTTCCTCTGAGACTCGTTAACTATCGTTCTGAAATAATAATTCAATTTAAAACATTATTAAACTTTATAACAGTTTATCTAACCGATGTAATAAAGAGTTCTTAGACACTAATTAAATTTAATGCGTGCGAGAATTGCAAAATACGCGCTATTGTCCATCATTATGTTCGCGTGCTGTTTATTATACGTCTGATTAATAAATCACGCCTTTGTTATCTAACAGCGAACATATTCGTTGTTTCAGGATCTTCGGGGCGTCTGAGACGTGGAAGAGAGATTGCAGTTAAAGGTAGGATTACAATTACTATTGCATGTTGAAGCAGCAGGAAACTGCACAAACGATTTCACCCGCGGCAGTATTATTCACTTCTGCGTGAAAGGCGGCGCGAAAAGCGATGTTAGATTTTACCGAGGATGATTTTATCTCAGACGAAGAAATCTCGCGCTTAATCCAGCAGCATTTTGATAATCAAATTTTTATTTTTATAGCAAATGTCTTAGAATGGAAATTATTTTTTTTTGCATTTTTAATGAAAGTATATCGGTTTATTCTTGACGCTCACGCGTCTCGAGATTTTCAAACTACTTCAATTGGCGGCGGAAAAGTTTGCACTGCACGCCAAAATATATTTTAACTCTCTAAATTTGTAATTACTGATCTGTGTTTGATGTATATTTGTTGCAAGGTTTTTTTATTTTCTTGAAGCGATGCGCGAAACAAGATAAGATTCACTTGGCTGTTTTTCAACATTTTCTTTCTTTCCGAGTCAATGCTGTCCAGTTTGGCGTGAGGAAAGTAATCGAATTGCGCCAAGAAAAGTATATTTTTCTTCTTCTTCCGTATCTTTCCGCAAACTCTCGTGTGCACTCTTCTCCGACGCGATGCGCGCTTACCATGTCTCGTAGGACGACCGTTCCAGGATTCTGCGGCCGTTAGCGATGTCAATGGGGCGTAGTGCTCGTAAGTGCCCACTTATGCGCGCGGATCCTGACGAACGGCCGTCGCTGTGAGTTTAATCCCGCTGTTGTTATTGCCCGCCGCTGCCCTTCGAGATCGTCGTCGCGGTCGTTACGATGACAGCGAGTTGGCCGCGAGAGAATGAACGCACCGCGAACACGAGAGTAGTCGCCGCGTTGTCGTAGGCGAAGCGTCCCTCCTTGCGCGTCGCATAAATTTCTTCTTCAGGATACGAGTATTCCCTTGATTTATATGAAGTGTGCAATAGTACATCAATTCTAAAGCTCTTGTTATCTTTGCTATTATTAAATTTATTTAACATTAAAATAAGTTGTTGTGAACTTAATTATGATTGAAATTATGTATTTATTTCCATGTGATATCTCGTACTTGAAGTACAATGCCTGTCTTTAGAAAAAGTTACATCGCGAGATGCGCGTCTCTATCGTCGAGTTCATTAATTCCTCCAAAATCAACGTCGGCTTCCTTTCGGCGGCGATAACGCAACGTCAGTATGAATCCCACTTAACTCGTTAGGGTCAACGCGTAAGGCGGCTCGGCCGTAAGCCGGCGGTCTCATTGTACGCCGCCGAAAAGAGCAAAAGAGCATTTATCTCCCCTGACACCGTGTTTATTAAAAATAATGACGTGGGTAGGATGGCCGAATTAACGGATCGACATACAGTTGCATAAATTCACCTCTCTCACATTCGTATGAAATATCCCGGCAGTCTCGGGCTTCAAATCGATGAAAGAGTCTTATTAAAATTAAGCGTGATTTTAAAATACCCCGCGCCTCAGTATATAATCCGCGGCTTATTGAAAAAGGATAAAAAAATATTCAGACCATTATTTTCCCCTGGTTAAGATACTATATATCGTTGAAGAAAGCTACTATTTTCTCCTTTCGCAATACCCTATCAATAAATTATATCTATCAACTATTTAGCGGAGATGGAACGCACACTTATAATAAACGATCACGTGGTGAAGGATCAAACTCCCAATTATCATCGACTACGCGCTCGCAAAAATGTTAGTAATCGATAATTACCGAGATACTCCGCTGTGGCAACAATCGAACACCTTTGTCTCGTTAATCATAGTGATTCCCGCTTTAATGTCCGTACGGACGAATAGATGTTACTGCAAGTCTCGGGATTCTATTACACGCGCGCTGTTAAAGTTCAAGGACTTCCTCATTAAATCCTAAGCGTTTAAGATAAATGCGAAATTTTCCGTTCCTGCCGGTCATAGAGCCGAAGGTCAGCTGTGGCAACTAATCATTATCAGAATTGTCATGGGTATCGAACATTAGTCATGCAAATTGATCCACGACTCGACCTTTGGACGAATTACGTCAGTAATTTATTTCAATAGTCAACGATTTTCTCACCGAAGGAAAACAATTCATGGCAAAAATGCATCAACTGCTGGATTTATTGCGTTAAATTATCCATTAAAAAGTATTTTATGGAAATAATAATAAATTTATTAAAAATTCTCTAGAATATATTTTTTTTTAATTAATATAAACTGTACTGTCAAAGATAGCTTTGGTCAAAATAATTTTAATATTTAAATTCTGAGCCGAAGACTCAGGAGGGAAAGAAACTTCTCTCAGGGCAGGTAAGACGCCCTTTTTCTCGATCCAGATGTCTCCGTCGAGATACGGCTTCCACGAAGTAGTTTCGGAACGATCCAGAACCCAGAGACCCACTGTGACGGACCCCGGGCGTGTTATGCGATCCTATCCCGCGGCAAGATCTCGCCGGTACCGTTGTGGCTATGGTCTCTTTAGGAACGTGTTCGGCGAACAAATTACCTTTTGTTTTGAAAACTTAACGGTTCCGCGGCCGCGCCGCCACGTGACGTTTTTCGGCCTCGTGAAAATACACGTCGTAAACCGCAAAGCAAAGCTCGCCCGCGAGCGTCCGCTTCTGCATCTGCGAGGAGAAACGCAAAAGATCCGAAAGATTAGGGGAAATAAATACGGTGCCGCGCGAAACGGGGAGAAATGATCGTGGAAGTTTCATTTGGCGATTAATCGCGCTAATGGCACCATTCGCAAGGACGAGTGCAAGCATGACGCGCCTCGAAACGTCGGGACGCTCCTTATCAGATACCATTATTCTCTCGGCGTTCTTTCCCGACGTCCCCGCGTCGCGATAGACTGAACGAGGCTGCCGTAGGATGATCGCGAGGGCGATCCTTTCCGTTCTCGCAGAACGATCGAAGGCTCGCCCGGGCTGTGGCAGCAGCAACGGCGGACGCACGGACAAACGTACGTACGCGGCGGCAACAAATGGTCCTGCCGCCGCAGATCGCTATCGGCGGGCTCTCGCGCGTATATTTATACGTAGCTCAAGTTGGTAATGTAGCCGAAGAAGAGCTCACGGAGGTGGACTCGCCCCAGCGCGGCCCCGGCAGGATCGCTCGCTCGCGGCCGCGCCTGGACATCGTGTGTCGTCTGATTACTCGCGATTCTGATCCCCGTGTCTGGGATCGGGTTACTCCGATACTCGAGATTCTCCCGCTCGGGTGTCCCGGTGTCCTTGGCGGGACGTAGACATCTTACTCCGGCGACACATGGCCGAATACTGCACATATCGAGAGCCGATGGTCGTCGAGAAGTCGGGAATTGCGCTTTATAAATATGCAACTTGCATTAAAATGCATTCCGAGACGTTTTATTATCTTGATGTACAGACGTATAAAAGACATTCCCTGAAACGCATATTCTTGCTAATTCATGACAATCTGTGAAAATTAGTATTTGTAGCTTTTTATATCTATTCGCTTCCGAATTTTTTCGAGCTGTTACAAATATTTCAACAATCGTAAACGGACCGGAAGAATTCTTATCGATCCGTTAGAAACGATATCTCTGGAGAAGCAAGCGTACATATCTCCATGAGCTAAAGCTAGGACGGCACGGACGCGTATGCTGATCATTTATTTAAAATCGATCGCGTAGCGTGGCGTAGCGATAGTTACGTCGGAGCAGATAAGTTAATTCCGCGACGCATCTCGGGATTGATCGCGAGCGAGCGAGGCCGCGTGGCAACGGGAGATCGACTTTGTTACACATACTTTGAGGAAGGCAGTGAGGCGCGATTTTATCGGCGACGTTCCGTCCGCGCACGGTAGGCGCGTGTAGTACGAGCGCGCAACAACGCGCGATACCGCTGTACCCTAGCCGGGGCCGATAAGACCGAGTCGCGGGGCCTCCGCTAATTATTTATCCGCACGGTAGAGCACGAGCGGAGGCGCGGAGAGGTCATTGGCAGAGCCAAAAGTCGAACAAAAAGGTGCGCCGAGGGAGAAGACGTCTCACTCGCGGCGCAGTCGAGGCGCATCGTGAAAGACATCGCGAGGATGAGGAAGAAGAGAGAGAGAGAGAGAGAGAGAGAGAGGGAGAGAAGAGAGCACTGGAGGCTGTGAGACGGGCGAGGCGCGAGTGGTATAATCGTGATAAGCAGGTGATAGATGCTCCTCAGGACCCGCACTGCCGTTGCACGCCGCAGACAATGGCTATTTGTTTCTGCCTTGACGGAGAAGAGGAGGAAGAGGAAGAAAGGGGTGGAGAGAAACACGTCTTTCTCGCTCTTCTCTTTCCATCTTCTTCCTTCTCTTTTTTTCACTTCGTAGACATCGTCGTCGTCGTCGTCGTCGTCGTCGTCGTCATCCTCTTCCGATGATCCTCCGCGTCTCGAGGCCTCCACCTCCGCCTCGTACGTTCCATTCCAGCGAGCGAGTCCCGGGCGAATCGACTAAATCACATCGACAGATAATCACAACTTAATTTGCCCCCCGCGGGGAAGTCCTAGCCTGCGTGCAGCGTGAATCCGGCCGAGTCACGGACGGCGTCGCGTAGCCAGGCCGTCCGCGCGGCACCGTGTTCCCGCGATGCCGGTTCCTGCGTTCGGGGAATCCGTGTGCCACGGGAGCTCCATCGGCCATTCATTGTATGCAGATGCGGCGAGCGAGATGCGAGTAGCGCTAGGCGAGGGACCGCGATAAAGCCGCCCGCGCGACATTAAACGGTGTTACCGGAGGTGGATTCAAAAGTACCCGCATAGCCGTGTATCCCTTCGACATCGCATCCTTTAATCCCGACTCAAGGACATAAATAGATAAAGAGATGTAGCCTTCGCCCCAGCTTCGATGCAAAATTCTTCTCTTTCACGACGGGACAATTTAAGCTTTATTTAGGTGTTTAAAAAAAAATGAGTAAGCTTCTTAATTTTCATTTTTACCGTATCTACATTCTGTTCGATAAGTATTTGCGCGTAATGCAGCGGCGTAACCCGCGCAGCGTATTCACGCAC